ATCGTTGTCACTGCCGTGGCGGTCACCTCATGTGAACTCGCCTCTGGTGTCCTGCTCCAGAATGGCTGCTGCAGCTTCGTCCTCAGGAGAGGCGTAGCTGTGCCCGTCGTTGGCGTAAACGCGATTCGCGTTCGCCTGCTCGTCTTCGCGAAATTGCTTGAGAAAGAGCCGATCGTAGAAGATAACGTCGCGCGCGTTTGCGACCTTCTGGCTCATGAGGTCCAGGATGAGCCACGCCTTGTCCTCGTGGCTGATGCCGAGGTGAATCCCCCATCGTGCGCGGCTTGCGAATTTCCCGATAGTTGACGTTGGCGGACGGTACTGCACCATGCATCCCCACATGCGGAGCATGGATGTGTCGCCCTTGGTCCCCGTCCACTTCAGATGCGGCGACAAGTTGCCGGTGATGGCAGTGGTTCGGGGCTATGGGGGAGCCGAGAGTTAAACTCTGTAAAACCTCGCTGGTGGACGGAAGCCTGAGGCCGGCAGGTCCTAAGGAGATTAGGAGGGCGCTTGCAGGGCCAGTGAGGACGTCAAGAAGAAATAGTTCACTGCATGTTCACATGCCCGGTCATCCAGCCGGTGATTGGCGCGCTGCTGAGCTCGCTGAGAATCATGGACCCGGCGGGCCAGACGAGGTCACTAGGCGACATGCTGTTTCAGGAGGGGGCCACGAAGTCCGGTTTTCCGGGGGCAACTTTGACAGCAGTGATGATGCGAAGAATCTGGTTGGCCAGAGTGGATGCGGTGTACCGAAAGGAGAAATTTCAAAGGAAGAAGGTGGCACGGGCGGCTATCTATGATTTCATGCGCCACGCGAGGCTCTACAGGGCGGAAAAGTTGAGAAAGGCAGCAGGGGGGCTTGCCTGGGGGCAGCCACGGGACCCGTGGGGCGGCCTAGCTGGGGATGAGAGAGCGGTGATTGCGAGGATCTGTGAGGCAGGGGAACAAGCCACGTGGAAGGCCGACTTCCTATCCATATGGCAGAACCCCAAGACGTTCCACCGCCCGCCGTAGGCATGTGCAGGAGGGAGGCGCCTAAGTTGTGAAGAAATGAGGAATGAATTGACTAAGGGAAAGTTGGGTACAAAAGCAAACCCTAGAAAACTGTACCCCATATGTGCTACCCCACTATAGCCTACAGTAGCTATGTCATATAAATCTGACACACCCCCATAGGCAAAGTGGGGGAGAACAAGGGGTCACAAGACCAGTCAAGCAAAGCAAAGCAAGCTCAGGGTGGATCACAAAGTCACCACACATTCCGAGCACAAGTTCAAGGCCACAAGGCCAGTTCACATGCAGGATTACATATATATATAAGGCTAGACAAGCAAGAGCAGGTGTATATATATATGCAACAGTACAAACAAGGTCAAGGGGTGAGCAAGTGAGGCAAGGTAGGCACAAGACCCAGCTGAGTACAGAAGCGCTGATGATCATAAGGCGCAAGTGCCTTGGTGAAGATATCAGCAGTGTTGGCCTCAGAGGCCACGTACGCAAGCCGCAGCTGACCACGCTGCTGTAGCTCACGAGCAAGGAAGTAGCGGAGAGCAATGTGCTTCGTTCTGTGCTCCAGTCTCTGCTCTCGACACAAGGCCAGCATGGCCTTGTTGTCTACGTACAGCACTGGAGGAGAACGAGGCGGCTCTCCGAGGTCAGTGAGCAGGTAGGTGAGCCAGCGAAGCTCCTGTGCAGCCATGGCCCCGGCGTAGATCTCAGCCTCACAACTGGAGCCGAGAACAGAAGACGAGCGGGTAGCCCGCCACGAAACAGAGCCGGAACCAAGGCTGAAGGTGTAACCCTGTGACGACCGCTGCGTAGCCTGGTCGTCAGCCCAAGAAGCGTCTGCGTGCCCAGTGAGGACCACTGGACTCTGCCCTCCAAGCACAAGCCCCATGCCCGACGTACTGCACAAGTAGCGCAACACCCTCTTCGCTGCAGCCATGTGCTCCGGTCTGTGTCTCCCAGGAGCAACATAGCGTGCAAGAATGCTAAGAGGGTATGCAAGGTCAGGTCGTGTGCAGGTCATCAGGTACATGAGGCAGCCAACAAGCTCTGGGTACGGGCCACTCGACTCTACGGACTCATCCGAAGGCAGAGCTGAGAGCGAGTGGCAAGTAGGCAGAGGAGTGGCCTGAGGCGAGGAGTACGTGAAGCCGAAGCGCTGAAGGACCTGCTGCACCATGTGTGACTGAGTCAGGGTAATGGTGCGGCGTGCTCTGTCCCGGGTGATATGCAAGCCAAGGTAGCTGCGCAGTTCACCCAGGTCTGTGCACGTGTGTCTCTTCTGCAGCTCGGACTTCACGTGGGCGAGTCCAGCAGTGTCAGCTGTGGCGAAGACCAAGTCGTCGACGTACACGAGGATGTAGAACGGCGGCAAAGAAGTGTCGGTGCGCAGAAACAGCGACGGGTCGGCAGTAGAGGGAGCAAACCCAAGAGCCGCAAGTGTAGTCCTCAGTGTGTCGTGCCACTCACGCGGTGCCTGGCGGAGACCGTAGACTGGCCGCCGGAGGCTCCACTGGGTGCCAGGAGGAAAAGACCCAGTGAAGCCAGGTGGGCGACGCAGCCAGATCTCCTCGTGCAGGCTGCCCTGCAAGAAAGCAGTGCTGAAGTCAAGAGAGTGCAGCTCGTAGTCGCGGTGAGCAGCTATGTGCAGCAGTACCCGAAGAGTGGTCATCTTCGGGGTGGGAGAGAAGGTCTGAAAGTAGTCAACTCCCTGCCGCTGACTGAAGCCACGAGCCACGTAACGCGCCTCGAAGACAGGCGGAGAACCCGGCGGCCGCTTCACCCTGAAAATCCACATGCCACTGACGATGTTCGCCCCAGGCGGGGGAACCTCGTCAACGTAGGTGCCTGTGGACTTCCAGGAAGCCATCTCTGCGTCCATAGCTGCCTGCCACTGAGAGGAGTAGGGACCCTCTATCGCCTCCGCGTAAGAGCGCGGAGTCGGGATGTCAAGTGCATCCGGGTCTCCCTCAGGGGTAAGCAGTACGGACACGAGATGAGGTGAAGCTGCAGCCAAACACTGGAACTCCTCCTGCCTGTCCTCAAGGACGTATGTGCCAAGGGCACACTCACCCCCGACGGACGGAGGACAGACAGACTCAGACTAAGCAACAAGACTAGCAGCGTAGTCTAGACGACAGCGAGCAGCAAAGTCGACGAGCTTAGTAACTAGGGCAGACGCAGCAGTGGACTCAAAGGAAGGGTCAGTGACAACAGTAGCAAGGAGACGCGTGACAGTAGGACTGGCAGCACGAAGAGAGTCCGACTCCGGGTCAGGAAGAGCAGGAAGAGAGGACTCAGGAGGAGAAGGCAAAGGGGCACGCAGAGGAGCAGTGGACGGACGCAGAGACATCCGGTGCGTGCCAGGGACAGGAGGAGGACGCTGACGCGAACCACGACCACTAGTGCGAGCAGCACGGACAGGCGACGCAGGGCGAGACGCAGGCTCACGACGCTCAGCAAGACCTCCAGTAGGACCAGTGTAGGGAGAAGGAGCGGGCAGTGGGGAGGCCGGATGTAACTGTAACTGTGACGGGACAGGCTGTGGACACTCTAAGGGAGGAGGAGGACCAGTAGAAGGCGGTAGACCAAGAACCTGCTGAAGGAGCGGAACGAAGTACGGCCTAGGCCGCGCGGCGACTCCAGACACAGCAGGGACAGCACCAGTACCCCCAGCGGCAGCACCAGCGCCAGCAGCACCTCCAGCTCCAGTACCTCCAGCAGCACCAGTAGCACCCCCAGCAGGACCGCCTCCAGGACCGACAGCAGTAGCCTCAGCGCCAACACCCTCAGCAGCTCCAGCTCCAGTCGTACCCGCAGGCCCAGCAGCTCCAGTACTCCCAGTACGAGCACCTCCGGGACCCGCGGCACCAGCACCCTCAGCAGCCGAAGAACCTCCAGCTCCAGCAGCACGCCTCCAGCGCCGGGCAAACCACTCGCGCAGCTCCTGTGGAGAGAGTGGCTCCCGCCGAGACGAAGCACCCGGAGAACCTCCAGGCTCAGCACCGCCAGACGCCACACGAGCAGGCCCAGCTCCCTCAGGCTCCGCACCCCCAAGCTCAGCACCTCCAGGCGTGGCACCCCCAGGCTCAGCACCCCCAGGCTCAGGACCCCCAGTAGTAGCACCCTCAGGCTCAGCACCCCCAGGCGTAGCACCCACACGCTCAGCACCCCCAGAGTCAGCACCCCTAGGCTCAGCACCCTCAGCAGCACCAGAGTCACCAGTAACCTCGACAGGCTCGACTGCGTCTACCTGGGACACACCTGAAGGGGCAGGACCCTGAGGGGGGAGGGGGTCTACCGGGGGGGGACCTGGTACAAGGAAGAGCGGTGGCGGGGGGAGGGACGGAGTGCGGTAGGGGAAGAGGCGGTAGTAGGGGACCGACTCGTCAAACGTGATGTCCTGGGAGGACAGAACACGGCGAGAGGTGGGGTGGTAGAACTGCCACCCTGGCGCGTCAGGGGGGAAGCCAAGGAAGACGCAAGGAGCAGCACGAGGGGACAGCTTGTCCGCAGACAAGTCGCGGACAAACGCCCGAGATCCCCAGACACGGAACGCAGACGCATCGCCAACCTTCCCCGTCCACAGCAAGGCTGGGGAGGTCTCCGGCATGGAGACCCTGGGGTGAAGGTTGATCTGATGCGCCGCGTACCGAACCGCAAACGGCCACAGAAAATGGGGGGCAGCCGCATGAATCATGGACGTACGGGCGACGTCCATGACCATGCCAATGCGGCGCTCAGCAATCCCATTTTGCTGTGGAGAGTCCGGAAGCGTGAAGGTCTGGCGGATGCCTCGTGCACGACAGTAGGCTCGCAGAAGGCCAGAGGAGAACTCTCCACCTCTGTCAGAGTGCAGACGCAGAACAGGAAAGTCCGAGCCGAAGCTCTGCCTGAGCTGGAGACGAGCTGCGCGGATCCAGTCGATCAACACCTCAGTGACATCACCCTTGCTGCGCAAGGGGAAGACTGTGGTGTAACGCGAGTAGTCGTCAACCACCAGCAGGAAGTAGCGCTCGTGACCCTGTCCACGGACGCGGGCCGGGCCCCACACGTCCATGTGAAGCGTCTGCAGCGGGGCCTCTGTCGGAGGAAACTGGGAGGAGTGAGGGGCAGCCCGCTGCCGCCCCTCGACACAGGGGACGCAGGTAGGGCCAGGCCCCGGAGGAAGGGGAGGGAGGGACCGGGGAAGACCAGAGACAAGGACACGGGAGGCCATGCCTCGGAGACGAAGCAGGGAGGGGTGACCAAGGCGGTGGTGCCAGAGGAGAGTCTCGTGAGACAGGAGGCGACACGAACAGGGGGCAGACTCAGGACCAGACCTGGACGCTGCAGCAAACACCTGACCCGACGCAGCTACCTGACCAGACGCAGTGACTGGAGGAGACGCAGTGGTCAGTGTGTACAGGCTCGACCCCGGCCGACGTGTAAACGTGGCCAGGTGTCGGCCTGTCCGAGCGTCCGTGCAGTGGGTCACCCGCTGACTCGCAGGAGTGAACTGGTGAACCCCCGCATCCTGTAGGTCAGCACCACTCACCAAGTTCGTAGAGAACGAGGGGAGGTAAAGACCAGACAGGGTGCCAGAGGGGGCCGCCGGACACGGGAGGACAGTGGAGAAGTGAGCAAGGACAGGACCCCCAGAGGGGTCTGCCAGGGAGACCGCAACCGGCCGACTGAGCGGCGTAAGCGTGGTGCGGTCTCGAAAGAAGGAGCGGGAAGCACCCGAGTCAAGAGTGAAGGTGTGTAAGGCCTGAGACGACGTGGTACCTGAGAGAGCAGACTCACCAGCACCTGGGGCAGCAGACGCACTAGCACCTAGAGCAGCAGCCTCACCAGCACCTAGAGCAGCAGCCTCAATGCCCGGGTCAGGCGGAACACACAGGTAACAGTCACCCTCATCACTAGTAGGCAATGCATACATGGCAGTGAGGATAGCATCATAGTCAAGAGTATAGATATCTACCCGCAGCCGAAGCAGCTCCACCCAGTCGGGGAGCTCAGCTGCGTCGCCAAACTCCGTACGCCAGGCGTCGCTCAGACGGGCGAAGCAGCGGGACTCTGCGTGACCCAACGTCCCGCAAGGCTGACCAGTCCGAGCACCAGTGCGAATGACGTACGGACAGCGAGCAGTACCCCGTGACCCGTCACGCTGAGCGTACCACTCACGAAGCTGCTGGGGCGAAAGGACTGCTCGCGGACGACGCTGAAGCTGCACCTGGCCACTACAAGCAGCTGCCGAACTACTCACTCCAGGACGACTCCCACTACGGCCACCCCGACAACCCCAACTAGCGTACCACTCACGAAGCTGTTGGGGGGTGAGGGACTCACGCGGGCGACGCGGCAGCTGTACCTGGCCACTACAAGCAGCTGTGGAACTACTCACTCCAGGACGACTCCCACTACGGCCACCCCGACAACCCCAACTAGCGTACCACGCACGAAGCTGTTGGGGGGTGAGGGACTCACGCGGGCGACGCTGGAGCTGCATCTGGCCACGCCAGGAGCAGCAGTAGCAGTAGAAAGAGCAGCAGCAGTAAGAGCAGCAGTAACAGCAGTACGGGCAGGGCAGTGCTCACCAGTGGCGAGAAGGGCAGGCGTACGACGGCGGCAACGGCGAGGCCGCTACCACTATAGAGCGAGAGCTCCGCGGCAGCTGCAGGGGTGGCTGCTCCAGGGGCGGCAGTTGTAGGGGCGACTGCTCCAGAGGCGGCTGCTCCAGGGGCGGCTGCTGCAGTGGCGGCTGCTCCGGGGGCGGCTGCTGCAGTGGCGGCTGCTCCAGGGGCGGCTGCTGCAGTGGCGGCTGCTCCAGGGGCGGCTGCTGCAGTGGCGGCTGCTCCAGGGGCGGCTCGGCTGCTGGGCGACTCGGCGGCTCAGCTGCTGGGCGGCTCGGCGGCTCGGCTGCTCGCTAGGGGCGGCGACGGGGCCGGGTAGGGGCAGCGACGGGGCCGCTAGGGGCGGGGAGCGGCAACGGGGCCGCTAGGGGCGGCGACGGGGCCGCGTAGGGGCGGCTACGAGGCCGCGTAGGGGCGGCGACGGGGCCGCGTAGGGAGGGAAGCGGCGACGGGGCCGCTAGGGGCGGCGACGGGGCCGCGTAGGGGCGGCTACGAGGCCGCGTAGGGGCGGCGACGGGGCCGCGTAGGGAGGGAGGCGGCGACGGGGCCGCTAGGGGCGGCGACGGGGCCGCGTAGGGGCGGCGACAGGGCCGCTAGGGGCGGCGACGGGGCCGCGTAGGGGCGGCGACGGGGCCGCGTAGGGAGAGGAGCGGCGACGGGGCCGCTAGGGGCGGCGACGGGGCCGCGTAAGGGCGGCGACGGGGCCGCGTAGGGGCGGCTACGGGGCCGCGTAGGGAGGGGAGCGGCGACGGGGCCGCTAGGGGCGGTGACGGGGCCGCTAGGGGCGGCAACGGGGCCGCGTAGGGGCGGCGACGGGGCCGCGTAGGGAGGGGAGCGGCTACGGGGCCGCTAGGGGCGGCGACGGGGCCGCGTAGGGGCGGCGACGGGGCCGCTTAGGGGCGGCGACGGGGCCGCTAGGGGCGGCGACGGGGCCGCGTAGGGGCGGCAATGGGGCCGCGTAGGGAGGGAGGCGGCAACGGGGCCGCTAAGGGCGGCGACAGGGCCGCTAGGGGCGGCTACGGGGCCGCGTAGGGGCGGCAATGGGGCCGCTAGGGGCCGCAAGGGGCCTGGAAGGGCGGCAACGGGGCCGCTAGGGGCGGCGACGGGGCCGCTAAGGGTGGCGCGAGGGGCCGTGAGAGAGGCCTATAAGAGAGCTCGACAGAAGGGCGGCCCACAAGGCGCGCCTCGGGCAGGAGCGACTGTCGCTCCGGTAAAAAAAAAAAAGGTTTCAGTGGTGGGCCCAAGGAAGCGTTCCCACTAGGGAACCTGCTCTATACCATGTGAAGAAATGAGGAATGAATTGACTAAGGGAAAGTTGGGTACAAAAGCAAACCCTAGAAAACTGTACCCCATATGTGCTACCCCACTATAGCCTACAGTAGCTATGTCATATAAATCTGACATAAGTTTCCGGCTGGGGTTAGCTGTTTCCCTCCAGAATCCAGTTACGACTGTGAATGTATTTGCATTGCTATAGTGCAAACTCGTTCTTACAAAAAAAAAAAAAAAAAAAAAAAAATGGTTGACAGCAGGTTGTGCACCTGCATGGCGTGGCGAATTGCGTAGGGTCCAGTATATTCGCGGAAGCTTCGATTGCTTCATCAGCGCCCGTACCTTTGTCATGAGCGTGCGGTTCGTGCGCTCAGCTACGCCTTGCTGCTGGTGCGCGTAGGGGAGGGAAATGTGATGTTCGATTCCCTGTGGCTTCTTGCTCCTGAATTCCGCCCCAGTTTGCCGCTGCACGTGCGCCAGCCAGAGGCGGACAATTTCGTACGCTCTGCTGCGTGCCTCCACGTTCACGTCGTAGCGTGTTCATGCGTGGACAAAGGTGAGCGTATACAGCTCGTCGTTGATTTCGCAATGCCCCACGTTGAGGAAGTCCCTGTATACTTTGTGCAGCTTGGGGTAGCGGTTGGTTCCCAGTTCGAGCAGCGGGAATGGCTGGTGACTCAGCGCAGCTTCGGGGCAGACAGTGCAGTTGTGCGGCTGTGTCGTGCTCCTCACTTCGGTGCCATCTGGGCGCAAGAGTGCGCCAGGCGCAAACACGCCGGCCTCGATGCAGTTCTTCAGCGTTACGCGCGAGGGGTGACCAAGGCGCTGGTGCCATAGGTCATCGTTGGCGCGGAATCCAGAGGTGCGCATGTAGCGTGCGTGTGCTGCTGTGGGGTCCTCGTCAGGTACTTGGCCAGGTTCCGCCGCTGCTTCTTCAGCTTCTTCTTCTTCGTTCGCCGTCGTCAGCATCAGCGCCAAAAATTCCCTGTCAAGAATTACGGAGAAGGGAATATTAGTCCCGAGGATGGTTCCAGGGACAAAGGTTGGTTCGCGCGGCTCGGGGTCAGGCCCGTAGACGGTGCGCCGTGGGGTAGAGGGCTCGTTGCCCCAGTCGATGGTGTCCCAAGGGTCGCGGTGCGGCTGGATGTCAGGTGGGGGTAGTGCAGGTGCAGGGCGGCGCGGAGGGCGACCAAGAGGAACAACAGGAGGTTCTGCCTCGTTTTCTTCTTCCCCCCTTTGGTCCTCGCGGGAAGCTCCCCAGCCTTCGCCGGAAGTGCCCCAACCGCTTGTCTCGCCGCCAGATGCAGCGCCCCATCCGCCAGTGTTGACACCAGTTGCCGCTCCCCATCCGCCAGTGTCGCCACCGGTTGCGGCTCCCCATCCGCCAGTGTCGCTCGTGCCCCATCCGCTAGCGCTTCCCCACCCCCTTCATTGGAGGCGCTCTCCTCTTCCTCCCATCCGCTCCAGGCGAACGTGCCGCGTGACTCCGCAAGACTCCGTTGGCAAAGCTCTTCTGCTTCGCGTTGCGCCAGTTCTTCTTCTTGCGCCGCGGTAAGCTTCTTTGTAGAGTCGCGCCAGTGAAAGTAGATCTCCATGAACTTCTCCTTTGTGTAAGGTCGCGGCACGCGGTGCGCATCAAAGGTGCCGAGACCGGTGCCACGTAGCATGCCCTGAAGCGGGTCGCATCGTCCCCGCGTGCGCACGCCGTCACCTGAGCCAGCACGTCACCCAATTGGAGCGTTCTCGAACAACAACCCGTTCAGCCCACGCCACGATTTCAGCGACGCGACCCGCTTGACATAGTCGTGTTGCCCATGTTGCAGCAGTCTGTGGCGGCTGCTGCTGCTGATGATGCTGAACCGTTGGGTTCAGGTTGCGCGATGGGGGTTGGTACCCCTGGGTTTGACGCGTGTCGTTTCGTACGCCTTGGCGACCGGACCAGTTGCTCGGATTGGTATGGCGAGGGCGAGATCGGAACTTGCATCAATCTGCCAGGTGTCCGAAGTTTCTGCAAATCTTGCAGTAAAGGCGCCGCGGCCGTCGCTCTTCTGTGTTGTCGGTGTAGAAGGCGAGGCGTTCCCGGTCTCGTCGCGGCGCTGGTCGCTGCTGATCCATATCCCTTTGTTCGACGAGAAGGGTGGCGCATAGGGCGGCCTCCGAGATGACCCCCTGTTGTTGGAGAAGCGCCTTGCAGGGCCGCCATTCTGGGCCGAGCCCTTGAAGCATGATATTTACGAAGCTTTCTTCGGAAATACTGCTTCCTAACTTCGCGATTTGATCGCGTAAGCTCTGACAGCGATTAATGTAGCTATTGGCCTTCTCCCCTGGGGCCATTTTTGTCTCCAGTAGCTGCTGGAGCAGACGGCTCAACGAAACCGAATATTTCGGGTGGTATACGTCATTCAGGTGGCGCCAGGCGTCGTGGGTTTGAGCAGGTGATGTCTTGTACGATCGAATGCTCAACTGCTCCGCCGGCGACATGTTCCGCGGTAAGACGCCGTACGCCATCAGCGACTCGTTGTAGTACTGAGCCCTGGCGTCAGCGGTGTCTTCAGCAGAGCCCGAGTAGCTCCCGTCAACGTAGTGGAATATCTGCGCATTTTGCAGCAGCAGCTCCAGCTCGAAGCTCCACGTATAGAAGTCTCTGCTGTCAAAACACACACTTATCTTTATTTTTTATATGCTCATAAACCTTGATTGAGCAGAGAGAATTGCTTCTTTGCTGGGACGGGGAGTCTTGGGGGTTGAGCCATTTCTGTCGAGGGAGAAGGTGTGCGGGGCGGTATTGTGACCATTCGAGGTCGGTTGAGAGGGTCCGGAAGAAGTTACCAGGCGCCATTCCGCAATGTTTGGAGTCCTTGCTCCAGGCTGGTGAGTCGGTAAAGCAGTTGTGCGAGGACGGCGGTTCCAATCGTCGTCGTTTCCTCATTCGTCGCAGCTGGGTTGGGCTGCGCTTCTGCCGTCAGATTCGTCTGACCACCAGATCCTCCGGCCATTCTCACACGCGAGCGTGTGCCGGACGCCACTTTCCGTTCGTCGAAGATTTCGGAGGTGGCAGTGCGAAGGATTCCCGAGTCGCTCTCATACCATGCTGCGATCATAAGCTGATCGTAACCAGGATCACCTCAGGAAGGTTCGCACACGACTAGGTAGTGGTGGTGGGCCCTTGACCTCAAATCATAGTGAATGTAAAATGATTGAGATTATTTAAAACATGCAAATACAAGCGTATAAATAAGAGTACAGGGTGGAATACGAAACAACCTAGCTAGCCATGTACTCTAAGGGGTACATTCCCTTATTGCAGCGAAACCCAACCGTGCGACTCCATACGGTCACGAACTGCCTGGGCAGAATCCTCGCCACTGTTGTCTCATGCTATCTGCCCTGACGGTCCAGATGCTTCGTAACCGTACGACCCTTCGCGTCACTTCCGCCTTTTCGTCTTCAGACTCGGTATTGCATGCTTCGCTTGTTACTGTCAGGAGTGCACATTAACACTTCATCTTTTGCTATTCGTAACAACTACAGGTGACAGAAACGGGAGTGAAGAAGGGAGGGACGGTCAGAACATGTGTAAGGCAGATAGACAAAATTAGAAAATTGGAGTTGTTGAGCAGGTGGGGGTTACGGGGCAGCACAAAGAGGGCGAGGCGGCAGAAAGGATTAAAAGAAGGACAGGCGGCGGGCAGGTCATACGGGGGTTAAATTTTCCAAACGGGGCAGGGGCTGGAGACCATACCTTCCTCGGGCGCCGCGGAAGTTGCAGCGATGGGGGCAGCGCGCCGCCGCGTCACCCGCATGGATAAATGTGGCTTTCCCGAACGACCCATCGGCTCCGTGGAGTTCAAGTGTTGCCTACCTATAAACAAAGAGGATGCTAGGGGGCAGGGAGCTCACCTGACATGTTGTTTATTGCTTCTGTGTGCCTTCCTTGTAGTGCAATCCGTGGGGACGTAGCTCACTGACAGATCTTGCTTGACTAGATAAAACATTATTACAACCTAAGGTCAAAGTAAAACTACTTGGGGGACTAAAACTTCCTTCCTGATTGAAGGAGCAAAACCATGAGGCGTATCTGAACACTCAACAGCTATTTAGATTTGGGGTAAAAGCGTCATGCACAAACCCTGCTTCCAGCTCAACCCATTTACCAGCTCCGCAAGTATTTACAGAGAGTGGTGGCGTAACGTGTAACCTGTAACACAGTTACAGAGCGTCCTGTGTTTGGATATTTTACTTGGCCCGGCCAGCAAGAGTTGAAGGCACGATCATAGCTCCCACAGAAGCAGCTGCACATGTTGAGATGTCGCTAGCTAGGGCATCTGAAGGAACACATGAGGAGTTGCTTCCGTACGTAACAGCATTGATGAAGGCCTCTCCTGGGAATGCGGCACACATCTTGGCGGTTGTAACGAGGGCAGCAGTGGTGTTCCCCTCCTTCCCTTGCTCCGCCGCCGAACCGGAAGCAGATGGCTCGGCAACCGTGGCTGGAGGCAGGGGCTCACGGTCAGGGTATTCGGATGTGGTGAGGGGCTCGACAGCAGGTCCGTAAACAGACTATGTAATCGCCGAGCCTAGGTGGCGAAGCAGGTGGCGGAGGGGGTTGGGCAGACTGCAAGAGTGACAGAAACGGGGGACCAAAGAGGAAAAATACGACAGTTAGAGAACGTGTAGGGCTCTTTGACAACAACGAAGGAGAGTAGAAATGAAAGCAGAGGCAGGTGAGGGGACAGGGGGAGCAGAGCTGAAAGACGGAGAGAAAAACTGAATACCAAGGGAGGTGAGGGGGCAGGGGAGCAGAACCGAAAGACGGAGAAGATTGGCAAAAGATGGAGTGAAAAAACGGAAACCAGGCAGGTGAGGGCTACGAGGTAGGGGAGCAGAGTGGGAGGAGGGGGTGATGGCGAGGGAAGGGAAAAGGGGGTGAGAGAGCAATGGGACGTGAGGGAAGGATTATCGGGAAGGAGGGGGGGGTTGGAATTTTCGAGAAGGGAGCGCAGTCTTGGCGGATTACTTACGTTGCGAGAGCGGCGCGGAAGGTGCAGCGGTCGGGGCAGCGCGCAAACACGTCACCAGCGTGGATGAACTTGGTGTCCGCGAAGGACCCATCGGGTCCGGGCAGCTTGAGTGTCGCCTGCTTGCTGCAGTAATCTTCGCAGAATGTTTCGCCTCCGATAGTTACTGCAACGTCGCCGCTGGTGACCAGCAGATAGAGCGCGGCGCGGTCGAATGGAAGCGCGCCGATGTCGATCTGGTGCTGGACGGCTGCGATTAAGCGAACGGACGAACGGGTGGAAAGCAGGAAAACGGAAACCCAGATAAGTCTTAAGATATGAGAAATCGGAATTTGCGACATTGGCAAAACGACGGGGTTCCAATTGTTACCTTCAGCTGAGTTGTCGCCGTAGTTGTTCTCAGCAAAAAATAAAACGTCACAATCCATGCCCAAATCTTGGTTTTCCCCATGCATGCACGCTCACCATAGCACGGGGAATGACTAAGGTAACTTGAAGCATTGCTTAGGGTGAAAAACAATGCTGAAGCAATGCGGTGGAGGTGGAAACAATGTCCCCCCTTCCCCATTGTATCAGCAGCTGCTCGCAGTTTGCATCCCAGCAGCCTCGCACGTGCCAATTTCGGTTTGGCACAGCTGGTTTTCTTCGGTTGTGTTAGATGCACTGCGGTGCAATCGCGTTACGTTGAACCTATACTTGCAACCCATTTGCGTCGGGAGAAAGTTGTGGCGCTATACAGTAACGAACACGCCTGTGACGAATCAGGGATAAGGCTTTGCTGACGCGTCAAAAGCAGTGCGACTTGATCCCTGTGGTGTCACACTCGAATGTGACAGCGCGGATTGTCAAACATTATACTTGTTATATTTGTGTAGGCTATAGTGGGTTAGCCTTCTAGGGGGTACACTACTCTAGGGTTTGGTACTTGTACTCCCATTCCCCTTCTAGTTCATCATTCTCATTCTCTCTTAGTTTCTAACATGGTATTACGAGCCTAGGTCGTAACCTAGGACAGAATGATAGGGCCCACAGTTTCTGCATAGTCGCGCCCTAGCGCGCCTCGCCTATTCGCGCCCTCGAGCGCCCTCCTCTCTCCCTCACTATCGCGCGCCCTAGCGTGCCTCTCGCGATCGGCCCCGCCTAGCCCGCACGCCCTAGCGTGCCCCATGCGACCGGCCCCGCCTTCCTCACACGCCCTCGCGTGCGACCCGTGCAGCCCCACGCGCGTAGCTTGCCCCGCGCGCGCCCTAGCGTGCCTCGTGCGGCCTCGAGCGCCAGCTGCCCCACGCGCCCGTGTGCGCTTCTTAAGAACCGGCCCTGCCTACCCGCGCGCCCTTGCGTGCCCCGAGCAACCGGCCCACACCCACCCGCGCACCCTTGCGTGCCCCTCAAGTACCGGCCCCGCCCCGCTAGCCCGCCCTTGCGTGCCCCGTGCGACCAGGCCCCGCCCCGCTAGCTCGCCCTTGCGTGCCCCATGCGACCAGGCCCCGCCCAGCTAGCCCGCCATTTCGTGCCCTACGCGGACCGGCCCCGCTCTGCCCTGCACGCCCTCGCGTGCCCCACCTCGAGTAGCCGCCGCCTAGCCGAGCCGAGCCGCCCCACCGAACCGAGTCGCCCGGCCCGAGCCGCGCCGCCCTACCGAGCCGCGC